AAACCTCCCGCTGCCCCTAAACCTCCCGCTGCCCCCAAACCTCCCGCTGCCCCCAAACCTCCCGCTGCCCCTAAACCTCCCCCTAAAATAATTGAACATTGTTACAACTCTGTGTGGGCTGGCTGCTCTAATGGGAATGTGTCGATCCATTCAGGGATCTGAGTCGACCAAAGCTGAACCCGTTCCGGTTTGAACTGGGTCTTGACCTCTAATCTGAGACCAAACTGTAGGTAGTGACCCTCAAGTTCGTCATAGGCTGGCCATCCAACAGGAAGTTCAGAGCCAAGAGATGCACCCGGGTTGCTGAATCAACCAATAAAAATGTATGTATTTATCTTTATATTTAACTGAGTAAGTGCCAAACTCGACAGTACTAAAAATTGCGCATCTTAAACACATCTATGAAGTTATCAACTGTGCATAGTCCCAGGCGCCATGTGTTCCCAGAAATCAAAATGAAGACAATATGTTGGGCAGCAGAGGTAAGATTATTCCTAGTTCACACTTACTTTTCCTCGTACTGTAGAGTAGTCGTTAATGAGAACGCAGTATGAAAAATGGCGGAAGAACAAACCTGAATAGAGTTTTACAACGAGGGTACCTAGTAACACAGTTATGCAGTATATTGCTCCGAAATTTAGCCATCTTTGAAAGGTACTCTGTCAACGGAAGGAGAGGTCTGTTAGACCATTAAGTGTTTTAGACTTTTTTTTTTTTTCGTAGCGTATACACATTCCTAAAACCTTGAATCCTCATACACAGTGGGCAAAAATGTTCGATACTACACTATTGTGGCAGGTATATATCCTGTTCCGTTAAGGTTTGTCCAACCTGTATCCGGTACGAAAATGCTCCCCTATCCATAAACAATCGGCGGACGAGGATTTCGTTTATGTTTAGTTTCAAGAATGTCGCCTCAGATTATAGAGGGCGAATGAAGCATCTGCTGGGGCGCATTTGCGTGATTCTAAATTAAAAAAGTTATGGTCAAACAGACTTCCCCCTTCCCAATACACTTCCAGTTGGAAGAAATGTGTTCGTTGGTGCCATTTCTTTGAAGCTGTTTTGGCACTGTCCTGCCAACCTTTTATAACTCGGTCCCCGTTCATGACAATTTATGAGCAAAAATAGTCATGAACTATGAATGTTTTTTTTTTCTCTGTGGAGAGAACCATTGTCACTTACAACAGCAGAACATATCTTCATTAAGACTTAAAGTTAACACTGATAACTGTAGACGAGCCGACTTACACGTTCAAAATGCCTGAGTTTCAGTCCTTTTACATTTGGTACATACTGCGTGTTTTTGAAATGAACTTTATTATTATTATATTTTTTTTTTAAATACAGCGTTATAATTTTGAGCAGAAATACGTAAGAACTAAATAATAAACAAGAGATGAGATGATGGAAGATAGTGATGGGAGCCACCTAAAATTATAAAAATAATTCAAGAAATCATGTAGACCAAAATAACTTTTAAAAAAATAAATTGACTTAAGAATTTATAGCAATCACGACTAAGACTTAGAATTATTTAAAGTTGTTAATGCTATAACAATCATAAGAAATTAAAATACTGGATTAATGTTGTACTGATTCAAAGACAATCGTAAAAGTCTGGTAGTATTTAATGTTAATAATGCTCTCCCCTTATCAATGTTATAATACTCACCCAGTTATAAATGTTACTAAGATTGACCCAGTTATTAATGTTTCTAATATTGACCCAGTTATAAATATACTAATACTGACCCAGTTATCAATGTTACTAGACCGACTCAGTTATAACTGTTACTAATACTGACCCAGTTTTGATAAAGTCTGCTGCTATTGAAATGTATCTTTGTTTCAAATAGTCGTCCTCTTCACTCCAAAGACTTCCGTTGACCTTGGCATAATTGCAAGGGAGAGTAAAACAAGTTGCCGGACATTAGTTTAAATGGAGTACTAATGAAATGAGTCAAATATTTTAATATGATATTAGTGACCTATAGTCTTTGGGATTAAGAAAAGAACTTAAAAAAAAAAAATTACAACATATTTTAGAAATTTAAGGTTGTTAAGCGATCAACTTAAATAGAAGAAATGATGATACAAAAAATGCTCACTTGAAGATTGATGATTTTGTTGATGTTCTCAAGTTCAAGGTCAAACAGATACAAGAGGTCAGTGGCATGAACCATTCCCTTGTAAGGTCCTGCCATAAACATTGGCCAGTGAACAAAGCGGAGCATGTGCACCTGTTGTATATAGTGTTTTTTTTTTAAATGTATAATTTTACCCCAAATTATTAACACACGCGCTGAGATCTCTAAAATTTATTAGATTAAAATTCTTTACAATGTGTGAGATACATTACTTCTTTTAAATGTTGATTTTTTTTAAGGAGTGATCAACTAGTACTGACCCCAAATTATCTATAACTCTCCCACTGAATATCAGAAACATAAATTTAAAACTATGAACAGTGAAGGCCTATTGTAGAAACACGTTGAATAAATCTGACAACATATGTTGAAATAAGAGGCGGTAGAAAAAAAAAAAACTAAAGGTGTCTCAGAAACCGGTGTATTTTAAGATCAGATGAGATAATATTAGATATTCTTAGTGATCCAAATAAATGCATATTTTTTTTCATTCATCGTACATATTTTTTTTTCAGTCCTGAAAATGCGTGTTTGATTGTTTGAGTTTCACGTTATTCCATGAAATAAGTCTGTAGCAAGGCATTCGGCGTGTCATTGTGCGGTAACTGTTGAGTTCTTGAGTGAGAACAGAGTCATGGATTTTTACAAACACTTTAAAAAAGAAATTTAAAAAATCACGAGGGACTCGCATACGCATCAAGTAGAGAACAATGAAAGTTCTACGTCTCCATGATGTTGCGGAGTATCTCAACAAACGAACATACTGGCTCTTCTAAATAGAAAATACATTTATTTCAACCAAAAAAAAAAAAGACCACATGTCTTCTCAGGAGAAAATCTACTTATTTCAACAAATGACCAACCTTGTCTTCACAATAGGACATTTACATATACAACAAGTAAAAAATTAACCTGCCTTGCTCTTCTCGATAGAAAATCCTCGAGTGGCTGCGTTCGCCCAATCCAAAATCGGAATGTGAAAAATTGCATCTGCAGCAAAATCGGCCAGTGGATTGATCTCATAATTGTTATTGTAGTACTCCATAACTTTCTCAATGACTTTGTCACTGACAGGGCCAAAAGCTGACTTCACAAATCGCGCCATCATCCCAAGTGTTATAGCGTTCCGTGGCATGGCTTGTCTTTGTTCCTCAGACAGAAGAGCTTCCGCTTCTTCTTTGATAACATTAAAGAAATCGCCTTCATTATTGACAAAACTAATCAGATAGTCCCTGTCAAAAAAATTAATGGAATCAAGGTAGCTCTCATCATTGAAGAGCTCCTCAATAGGTTTGGGGAAAAGGCTGCCATATTCCACGGGTCCTAAATTGGGGAGGTTCAAACCAAAATCCATTCCAAATGATGAAGCGGGAACTTTCCTCAAGCAGTCGAGAATCTCATTAAGGTCATCGTCATAATTCAGGTCGTCTTGTCCTTCTCCGAGGCATCCAGTCTTCTGGGCTATTTGGACAAATGTGGGTAGGGGATTTCTGACCACAGCGGGATGTTTAACCGAAGTAAGTCCACTCATAGGAAATGCTTTTGTAAAAAGATTTTTAGAATCTGGTACCAGGCTGAGAAATGAAATGTCTTTCGCTCCAGCTGACTCGCCACTGACCTGACATGAGAATTTAAAATAATAACAGAACTGTTTTTAGCAACGAAAGGTGAGGGAGGGGCATATCTGTACTTTTCAATAAGTCTCTTTGTGTTGCAATGGAGCATTTGGATGTGAGCTTAAACTTAAGGAATCCAATTTTTCATAAAACTAATATTATTGATCAGGAGAGAGCAACCTACAGCCCACGGGGCCACATTCAGCCCACATAAACACTTTTATTTAGCTCGAAAGACCTTCCGGGAACTGGATCAATGTTAAGATAAATTGTACAATAGTGAATTTAAATAAGTACTTTGATCACAGATAGAGGCAACTAACTAGTTAAAAACAATTGGCAGTGACAAAAGTCTCAATTAATATTTTTAAAGTATATAACTTAAGTCTAACTGTATCATTAAATGGGAATTATTAATTATCAGATTTGAAATTTATTTTAAAAATTTACGCATTTTCGTTTAGAAATATAAATTTCTAGCAGATTATGAAGTCCAAAAGGAAAGTATATATTTTCCAAGCAGCTCTCTGCACAAAAAAAGTGGGTCGCCCACCCTTGGCATTGATTGACCATCTAACAAATGATTAAATGCCTCATGTTCCCCTTCAAATCAAATAGACTGTATGAAACTAGTTAAAGTGTCTGTCTTTAACGAGTTGGCTAAAATGTATGAAAAGAGTAGATTTGTATGACTTAAAAGAGTAAACTTGTATAAGTAAAAGAGTAAATTTTTATGAATAAAAAGAGGTTTGCTTTCCTTACTGTAATGTCATTTGGGTCACCACCAAAAGCAAGAATATTTTCCTTGACCCAAGATATTGCCAACAGCTGGTCTTTCAGGCCAAAGTTACCCTCACAGCTGGGGGTCAGTGTACTGAGAAAACCAAGATATCCCAGGCGGTAACTGATAGTGACCACAATGATGTCTTGCTCTGTCACCAACTGGCCAGGGATGTAGATATTAGTGAAGCCCTCGAGATTACCTCCGCCGTGTATGAACACAAACACCTGAATTAGGAGAATGTGATGTAAAGAAACTTTTTGATTCAAACAAAGTTTAGGTATAAATAGTTTTCAAAAGCACATTGTAGTAACAGATGAGGTGGACCCACCAATGATTATTGATAGTATAACCTACAGAAAAAATTAAAGTTCTAATTTAAGTACTGGTATTCCAACACCTATTTATGATTGTCCTGTAGGTCAATAAGGTCAAGACATGCCACTGAATGTTTCTTTTTTATATGAAAAATAAATAAGTTTCCTCTCCACCTTTTTTTGTTCTCCTTTCTTTGAAACACCAGATTCTGGCGCATAAACGTTAAGATAAAGGCAGTCCTCATCCCCGGGACCAAAATCACGACCACCAGGTAAAAGATTGAGTTGGATACAAATTGGTTTGAATTCTGATGCATCATAGACACTATCTGAAAAGATATATGAATAGACATCATGCAAGTCTAGGAATATGGTAAACCCTGCCATTAAAAACCTATGGTGATTGGTCAAATCTGTCAGTATGAGACAAGGGTTTGAATTTAGTCCCTCATAAATTAGGGTATGGTCTGCAGTGTTAGTCTCAGAATAGGATATTGCTTGTTCATCTGAGAAAATGATATAGCCTTTAAGTCTCAGAGCATTATATTGCCCGTTTGTCTGAGAAAATGGTATAAACTAACACTGTATGGGTTTTTTCGAAAATTTGTTTTACTTGTTTCCAATATATGAGACTATGTTTGTGTCCCAGATTATGTGAGACTTCAAATTTAGTGCTAAGTAATATTTTGAAAATAACAAGTGGCAAGCCTTCAACAATATATCGAAATGAAATATGTACCTAAATCAGTTGCGGGTACTGGTGGTCTGAACCTCAGGTCTTCAACTGGTGGCTTGGCATAAGGTATTCCGAGAAATGCACTGTAGGCCCGCCCACTTCTAGAAATCAAAGTTGTTCCTTGAAATGTTCCTGAGGGGGCCTTAACCAAAGGAGTCGATACAACTGTGTGTATGATGGCTAGGCTTAACCAGCAGGTGAGCAACATTATGTTTCAGTATGTTGACAATTACGACAACTGATTTCTTAACTTAATCTGAGGAATACACATTGAAATTACATGTAAATTATAAAACTTAAAATAGTGAAAATGGTAGAGACTACAATCGTTTTAGCAAAAAAGACATTGGTAAAACAAAGCATAATCAAACCTGAAAAAAAGGAACGCAACAAAACAACGAACTTGTCGGCAGGAAGCCTTCGTCAGCAACAACAACAAAAAAAGAAGGAACAAACAGAATTAAATTCAAAAATAGCACTTAACTGAGAAGTAGTATCCGAGAGGGCAGCAAAAAGAATTGTGACAGAAAATCAGTAAGGGAGAGCTTGAATAAATCAATCATTTCCTTTTTTAAGACCTTAAAATATCAGAATAATGGAATTGGGAATGTTGAATGTTTAATTTTAGGGATGCTCGGATTTAAATCATACCACGTTAACTTTAAACCGATGATGACAGAGTTTTCATGAGAGAATATTGTCCTCCTTTCACTTAGCTTTTAAAACGTATTTTTTAAAGTCAGTCACGCTTTTTAAAGTCTATTTCAGCTTTATATTTTAAATATGTTATGTATAGTCTAACTTGATTCATGGTTTAACACATTGAACAATCTGATTTATTTATAATAACTATTTTATGCCACATAATGGGATTAAAAACTTGTCAAGGAATCAACAAAATATACAAAATCTTATCCACTTTTTGAAGTAATAAATGATATTAAAAAATAATATAATTCATATTTAGGATAACACTGTTGAATAGAAGCAATGACATCATTGATACACAAATAAGATTGAAATGAGCAGGACTTTACTATGACTATTAGGCTTAATATTTAATTGCGGCAACACATCTGACCCATAACTGGTATTACTAACAAAAGTTGGCCTACTTACTTGACGGTGCGATATTGTCAAATTTATTTTTTTCAAAGTTCGACCTTGGCCTAAATTTGTGCTTTTTTTTTAACCTTCCTTCGCTCAACATCTGAAGATCAGCTAATAAATAACATGTTAAAACATGCGATGCGAGGCAAACTATTCAAGAGTGTAAGTGCATTTTGCGAGAGATAGGGCAAAACTATTTTGATGATACAAATATGTTTAGGCTATATGTCGTATAAACGGAATATAGGCCTAGGCCAAGGGGCGGGAATCTATAGCTCGCGAGCCAGATGTGGCTCTATTGATGGCTGCATCTAGCTCGCAGACAAATGTTCGATTATTATAAAAAAATGTTTCTTTAGACTCCTTTGATTAGCAATAGCATAACAATCTTATTAAAAGAATTCAGAGACATAATTAATGCATTTTTAGTGTTGAAATTACACAAAATGCACACATTTACTTGAATTTTTAGTTTTAAACATAATGTATGGCTCTCACAGAATTACTTTTTTAAAATATGTGGTTCCCATGGCTCTCTCAGACAAAAAGGTTCCCGACCCCTGGCCTAGGCTATATTTCAGGTAGTATTCTCTTAAATGACTTACGGCTACAGTATTTAAATTATCGGCGAACAACGGTGTAAGCAACATGTAGTCTGCAAGACACCCTTATAAAAATGCATAAACATCTTAAGAGTAAAGGTTCTAAACTTCTCAAGCAGGTGTCATTTTTTTTTTTTTTATAGTTTGCCTCACAACAAAAAAATTTAAACATTAAAAAACTAAAACAAAAAAAAAAAAAAAAAAAAAAAAAACAAAAAAAAAAAAAAAAAAAAAAAAAAAAAAAAAAAAAAAAAAAAAAAAAAAAAAAAAAAAAAAAA